ACCATATAATTTCAGTTTTTCATGCTTATTCTTTTAAAAAATTTAAGTTGGGGGGGGGGGGGGGGGCTGGGGGGGGGAGTAGGAAGAAAAATTCCTTTTTAAAGAAAGAAACTTAATTTTATTTGTCCTTAATGAACTATATTTTAAAATTTTAATTTAACATGACCTATGGTGGTAGAGAGCCTAACCTTTGGATAACTATATTTGTGTTTTTAAATATATAGTAAGCTTAAGTAAAAATTTTCAATAATAAAGGTTAATTCTAGATATTAATATATTTGGTAGGAGAGAATAAAACTATGTTTTTCCATTGTAAGTAAAGAAATTTTTATTTTTGAAGTATTAAGAATCTTAGAGTTTCATGTAAGAAGAAAAGAATAAAATTTTATGAAAATTTTAAAAGCTAATACGAATTTATAAAGTAAAGGAATGTGAAAAGTTTTTTACTTTAAGAAGAAAATAGTGAAGTTCAAAATCATTAAAGGCTATCTAGATAGTAGTCCTCACATAAAAAAAAGGAGAAATGATTGAAAATGATCCTGAAAGAAAAGAAAAAAAAGGAAAGAAAAGAAAAGAAAAAGATGTGAGAAGAAGCTTGAGGAGATGCCTAATCAAAAATTAGATTCACTTAAATCAACTTGAGGAAGAAGGCTTGGCTACATTTTCTAAACTTTTATTTAAGTATTAGCATATTTACTAATAAAGTTTTCATGAAGTTGTTTTTCATAGGGATATTCTAAGTGGGTTTAATATGACAATTTGCAATTTTCTTTGAAAAAAATAGAAAATCAGAAAGCTTAGACTTGACTATTAGATATTCTTATACCTTTATTATTAACTTATGATATTTTAAAATTTTCTTAAGTGATGTCATTATATTTAGTAAACAAAAATATGGAAATCTAAAAGTCAAATACTTTAGTATAAGTCGTATTTTTTTAGAGTAAAAGAGTTACTTGAGGACAAGTAACATTTAAGTTTGGGGGATTTTGATGCACCAAAAATATATGCATTTTTAGACATGGGATTTTGATGCACCAAAAATATATGCATTTTTAGACCTATATTTTATACTAATTTTTGGTGATATTGCACTTTAAAGGAAAGTATTTTTCAAGTTTTGTTTCAGGTTGATGATTTTTTGCACTTTATTAATATATAACGAACCAAATTTTTGGCATCGCTACAAAGCATAGTCATCTTCATTAATTTTACACAACTATAATTTTTGGGATCATTTGCTACGCAGAACGTAGATGACTTTCCTCTTCGTCGCAAAGAGAAAGAAGATACTGTTATTTTCTTGCTATGCAAGACGGGGACAATTTTCTACTACACTGCAACGTGAAAGAAGATCTCGTTGCTCGTCTGCCAAGCAGAATGGGGACGACTTTCCTCAACACCGCAACGATAAATTAGATCCCATTGCTCGTCTGCTATGCAGTACGGGGATGACTTTCCTCTTCGCTACAATGTGAAAGAAGATCCCGTTGGTCGTCTGCTACACATAATGGGATGACTTTCCTCTTCACCGTACAAGAAAGCAGATCCTGTTTCTTACATTCTACGTAGGACGGGGATCACTTTCCTCTTCGCTACAACGAGAAAGAAGATCTTGTTGCTCACCTCCTATGCATGACGAAGACAACTTTCCTCTTTGTCACAACGTGAAAGAATATCTTGTTACTCGTCAGCTACGCTGGATTGAGATGACTTTTCTCTTCACCGTAATTCGAAAGAAGATCTCTTTGCTCGTCTGTCATATAGGATGAGGATGCTTTCTTCTTCGCCACAATGTGAAAGAAAATCACATTGCTCGCTTGCTATGTAAGACTAGGATGACTTTCCTCTTCGTCGCAACATGAAATAAGATATTTTTATTCACCTGCTACGTAGGACATGGACAACTTTCTTTTTTTTGCAACGTGAAAGAATATATCGTTGCTCGTCTACTATGTAGGATGGGGATAAATTTCTTCTGCTGGGAAATCTTAGTTCATCTGCTAGGCAGGGATGTGGACGCCACTTTCTTTCTCCTCTCATTGGCCTCTATTTATAGGCTTGAGATGAGCCTTAATATTAAAAGCAGTTGGATTAAAAAAAAAACTTAAATCTGCCATAATTCTCTTGTCATCTGACCTTCCGTCTTCCATCCTTAAACTTTCCGTCTTCTAGTTTTTAGTATTTTAGCTTATATAAAAAAACAAAAAGCTAGAATTTCTCATTATTTTTTGTAATTTTGAGCTGTAACATTTGATAAATATGTGCTATAAAAAAAAACTGAAATCTGTCATGGTTCTCTTATCGTTTGTCCTTCCGCCTTCCATCCTTTGGTTTTTCGCCATCTAGCCTTTGGTATTCAACCTTGAATAGAAATAGTTGAAAAGTAAAAATTTTTCATTATTTTTTATATTAATACGTATGAGGTTGTAACATTTGATAAATATATGTTTAGAAAAAAATTGAAATTTACTTAAATTCTTTTATCATTTGATTTTCTGTCTTCTTTATTCAAAATAAAAAAAAAATCTTTCAACTTCCCATCTTTTAGCCTCCCAAATTCTTTCAAAATAATAATAATTAAGAAAATTGTTGTCTTAAAAGAAAATTAATTTTTTTTGTGTTGCGTAGGGATCAAACCCGTCACCCGCTGCGTAAAGAAAAAACCCCAAATAACTGAGTTGTGTTTAATTACATAAAAATATAAAGGTTTATATTATTCTTATATACATTCTTACAGTAATATAATATATACTCCTATGTATATATATACACGACAAAAACAAAAAAGTATTAGATCTTGATATTCTCCGACGACAAAGTGATTTCACTCGAAAATAGGGAGACAACTGATATATCACCAACAAATCTCTATCATCCAACACAAATCTTGAGGCATTACATAAATCTCGAGGTGACTTTTTGAGTAAGCAATATTCAAACCTCGTAAAAACTCATCCGGAAGTTTAATTTCAGTAAACTTACAGTCGAACCGACCGACTTGACAAGAAAAACCCAATGTTACAAAAATTATTCTAATCTGAGTCAAATCAAGCTCAAATGAAGTCATTAAACCACTATTAAAATATTTTTAGGCATATTTGAAAGATTAAACAGATGTTGAATTTAGCAAGCCTATAATTGAATCGAGCATCTTGACAAGATAAATCCAATGAGTCTAAGACTGCTCAATTCCGACATCGTTTAAACACTCAAATGTCCATCAAACTACGTCTGATTGTAGGAAGCCCTTCCGACCATACGATTAAAGTGGTTAATATTCCTACATTCATTGCATCCAGAACAATATAAATAAAATCACACTCTTCTCATGAGAGAGGGATGAAGGCTTAAGAGGGAATTTAAAGCTTTTAGAATGAGCTGAAGCCCAACACCACCCCTGTCATTGTCAATTGTTGCCAGCAGCCGTCGACCCCCGCCGATCGTCATCGACAACCGCTACCGTCCCTCGCTAATCGCTCCTGATCGTAGTCGAACGCTGTCAACCGCCATCGACAACAACCAACTGCCTTCGAGCACTACTTCCGCTGTTAACCACCATCAACCGCAATCAAACGCTGACAAGTATTGAGCACCACCGATCACCATCAACCACCACCGACTGGATGTTGTCAGTCGACATTGTAACTAGAAAACCTAGTAGCACTTTCTTGTTTGTGGGACAATGGTGTCTCTGTAATCATCCACTTATAATGTATTCTTACGTCTAGGCCAGACCTCGTGGTTTTTTTCCTTTTACGAGTTTTCAACGTAAAAACTCTGGTGTCATGACTGTTTGTTTTCTTTTATCTAAGTGTGTGTTGAGTTCTTGTGCAATGCTAAGATTATAATCTCTCACTCTACTGCCGCGAATTTTCTAGCACGCATAAAAAATAGTATCAATATAACTAACATTATAGTTGTCTGAAAAAGAAATAATATGACAAAAAAATAAATTGCGAAGGGAGTGAGGAAGCAGTTGGAGAGAATGAGAAACAAAGGAAAGAGCTTGCTTCTGTGAGATTAAATTTGTAGAGGAGGGGGTTAGCTGACATTTATAGGCGAGGGGGAGAGGTTGAACGCGTGATGCAGATTTAATGGATATGTGCCCCCAACAGGGGCATTTATCTGGTGGACTTGGGACCACTAGATAAACATTCCAATTGGGAGAGCATATCCATTAAATACGCGCCTCCCCTTCAGAGCAAATTCACTCATTTAATTTTTTATTTATTTATTTAAAAAGGAATGGTCGGAGGCTATTATACGAGCCCCAACCATCTCTCATGCGCCTAAGAATTCGAGTACCACACCCTACACTCGGGGGAATTCATACCTCAGACTAGAAGGGACTTATAACTGACAAATTGATGCTCGACCAACTGATCCGAGTACGCGGCGCAAAACCACTCCTATTTTTTTATTGATTCGTCAAATTTAAGTGCTCTTATTCATAATTTGGCTTAAATAAACTGTTGGTGTATTTATTTTTTAATTTGTCCTATGATTAGTCATAAGGCGATCAAAATGGAAATTTTGAATAAAATCTATAACTAAGGGCGCGTTTGGGGCAGCTTATAAGTGCATGGGTGTTTTTAAAAATGCCGCGGTACAGTTTGGTTCGTGTGTTTTGTTCTCTTATCTGAAAATGGGGTTCTATTTTTACACTTCGACCTACGGGCCGCGTTTCAGGATAAACTGCTTATCTTGAAAAGCACAAGTTGTGTTTGGGGCAAGTTGTGATAAACTGCTTATTTAGAAAAGCACAAGTTGTGTTTGGGGCAAGTTGTGCTTATCCAAATAAACAACTTACTCTGAAATACAACCTGTGGGGTTTAACTCACGGCCCGTAAAAATCCAATTTCATTTTTGGACAGACTGTTGAAATGTATTTTTCGAACAAGGAGGTGAAGCTTATAAGGTATCCCAAAGTGCACCTAAATAAAAACTTTATATTTGTATTATTTGTATTATTTTTATAATGACGCGGCGGAATAAGATGCGACGATATGTCGGCGACGGCACAAAACCAAAGAAGCAGCTCCTGCGAAATTGACATTGAGAATGAATCCTTGGCTCGGTGCTACTTTTTTCTTCTTCTGGGCCTGATCCTAATTCTTAGAGAGAGAAACCGAAACCGAGAGCTGAGAGCTTTGTGAGGGTTTTAATTCTTTGCCTGTTTCTCCCCTTTTCCCGGCGAAGATTTTTCTCAGTGCAGAACGAAGTTCGGATGAGCAAAACCTCTACAGGAGAGGTGGGTATCAATCAGATCGAGCCCGTTTCGTCAATTTCTCGGGGTTTTTCTATCTCGCGATACCCCATTCTCCGATCCAGTCACAATTTTTTCTACTGGTTTCCAACATCCGGATCGTCTCAAGCATGACTGGTAACGATCCTGATGATATATTCGTCTGATTCGTCGTTGTGGGCTTCCGAGGATTCAAATTTCTCCGAATTCGTTAACTATGGGCGATCTTCAGCTTTGGCCGCAGCAGCTTGACGGCGTCGGGGCTGTGGAGGCCGATCATAACCCGCATCCGCCTCCGTCTCCATCTCCGGGGTCTCCTACCTCGACGCCGCATTCCCCCAACCCCCATCATTTGGCAATCGGCGTCGATGCATGGCTGCAGGCCGAACAAGCTACCCAGGAGGTTATACGCCATATTTTGCCCACGGCAGTTTCTGAACATAGAAGAAAGACTGTTGTGGATTACGTCCAAAAGTTGATTAGAGGGTTTCTTGGTTGCGAGGTGATTCATTAATAAAATCCTAATTGTTTTTGCATCGTTTTGTAACTATCTGATGATCTCATACTTTATGTTCTTCGTTTTGGAGTTGTTCGTATTTCTGTTTAATGAGTCGGATTGAATATGTTTGGGACTGGTGATTGAACGATAGCTTCTCTGGATGGTGGACATATGGTGAGTGGCATAAGTTTCCCGTTGAAGTGCGCAAATCTAGTACATCTCTTATAGTTTTTTGGTTCTTCGGTGCTTTAGTATTGATTTAGTTTGTTTCATGATTGTTTTGCACCAATGTTTGTTCTAAGAGCTTACATATTTTTGTTAAGCCAATGAGCATTATGGTGGACTTTGATTCGCCGGCTAAATTATGATCTTTTCGATATGTCCACTGTGTTTCTGGGGGGCACTCTATTGCCATTTAATCTCTGTTTTTATGGGTTTTAAGATATTCTTCCCTTAACGCGCACTTACCCAAAAGCGCGCGCAGTTCATGTCAAATCTTCTAGTAAAGACCGCAATGTAAACAGTTAGCGGATTGTAGAGTCGACAAATATAAATTTGTACCTTATACCGTGATCTGCTTCTTTAAGCTTTTCTAGAAATTTTAAAAGAATCTAGGAAACTTTTAGATTACGTACTTTTTTGGCTTTCATTGCCTTTTATTGTTAAGTAGTTTTTTTTTTTTCGCTGATTTCAATATGAAAGGTCAATTTAAAAAAGGAGAATAATTTTTGCAGCTGAAGAATTTGAGTAAACTTTTATGGGGTGAACAACAGTATTATGTTGTTTCTGCTACAATTTAGAGAGAATATAATTATATCTAAACAATATTCCTGTGTGTTTTGCCCATCCTTCAAATATTGAAGAGAACAAATCACTCTGCAATTCTCACCAATGCCTCTCATGTCTAGAAGAATTTGCAATCCAATATAAGAATTTCCTTTTGGTAGATTTTAGTAAATGGAAAGTATGGTAGCTTGAGAAACATCATCTAGCTTTCGGAATTGATTAAGTTAATCACTGCTTTAAATGTGCAAACAATCATCAAGAGAGGGTAATATATACTAATAAGCTGCAGAACTAAAGATTCTAGAGCGGTTTTGTTTTTTAGAAGTGATAAAAGAAGAAGCATTCCAGCTTGGGATTGTTCACTTTGATATCTTTATTTTATTTGGTTCATTAATTTGTTATAGGAATGAAATTTAGACGTTTGACTTCTATTGAGTGCAATAATTTATGAGTCATCATGATACGGGGAGCATAGTCAATAAGATCAACAAAAGGATGAAGGAGATGATAAAGAAGACTGAAACTAGAATATGAGAAAGTAAGATAGTTGTTTCAAAAGAATTGTAGAAGTTAGAGAAATAGAGATTAAGAATGGGAGGAAAAGGGATGATCTTTTCAAGATTTTGAGCAAGTTCTTACTAAATTACTGGATTGATTTAATTGATGACATTGAATGGTCAGGATGGACTGTTGACTGATTTATTACGAGTGTATTTTAAATAATAGAATGAATGTTCAGACAAAATCCATGCCTTTTTATTAGAAAAAAAATGATATTTTTTCCACTTATAGTGCTACCACATGTACTAGTTGGGATAAATGTCCATTTTAGCCGATATTTCATATATTCTTTTGTATTATCACTAGTTATTCTTTTGTATTATCACTAGTTATTCTATAATCTTTTAAATATAGTTGTCCTTTGATTGTCATTAAAAAAATTTGATTGTACAATGATATACATAAGCAGTTAAATTTCTTTTTATTTAAATTTTTTTTTTTTTTTTTTTTTTTTTTTTTTGCGTTTTTCTTCTCTTAACCATCATCAACTCCTCTTGTTGAAGTGTTCTTTAATCGCGATACATTTAATACTGATCTAATATTAATTTTTTATCGCAATGGGCAACTTAATATCTTTGAAACTGTGAATGTTATTTTAGCCTTATTTGTGTGGAGAAAGCATTTCTATGTTGCCGCGTGTTATTTGAGCCGCTGAAATTTTTTTATTATCGTTATTGCTTACTGGCTGAAGAGAGGTCCATATGTGAATGATATTTTGCAATGTGTTTAGTAAAGGTGGGATTAATTAAAACGTTTCTTTGTTCGGTTAACATAAATCAGTTCTTTGTTTGGCATTTTTTGCTTTCAATTTTCTACGCTGTCATAACCCTACTTCTATAGCTAATGAACTCCAGTAATTTGCAACGATGTTTTATTTTTGATGTCTGTTTCAAACTGATTTGTCCTTGTCTATACTCAACAAATTCTATAAGCTTTAGGATTTATTTTGGTTTTGGACTTGAACAACATGATGTTTGTCCTTAATTTTAAAATATTATTTTCGACTGCCTGTATTCTTCACATAAGAATTTGACTTATTCTATTGTGTATCATTTTATGGTATTATCTTTGGATTAATTTATTGCCCCCTGAAAATGTTTGCAGGTATTTCCATTCGGATCAGTTCCCTTAAAGACATATCTTCCTGATGGAGACATCGATCTGACTACAGTTGGCTTTCCAAATGTTGATGATGCTTTAGCTGCTGACGTGCGTTCGGTCCTTGAACATGAAGAGCGTAATAAGGATGCTGAGTTTGAAGTAAAGGATGTACAGTTTATTCATGCTGAGGTTTGAAAAATTATTCTGTCCTCATCTTATAGTTTTATAATATATTAGCTTCGTAAATTATGGTCTCTGCTTGTTTTTAGTCTCCTTTGATGACCTTGCAGTTATTTATTTATTTGATATTTATTTTTTCATACAAAAGAAGCAATGGATGAATTCTAAATGCCTGAATTTTATTCAAGCTTTTTAATGAAACATTTTTTTTTTTGTTATTTAGGAAAGACATCATTATGGAAAACCTATAAGATCATAAATCATTGTTCACGAGCTTTTTTTTCTTAGCTTGTAAGTTTATTTGAAGGATTCCATAATACTGTTTACACCAATTATTTTATAAGGTTAGGTTATGTTTCCTCCGCTTATTAAGAAATGATGGAGGCTAATGTCCGTTGTATTCATCACGCATTTTAAGTGTGCCATGCAATCTCAAAGTATTTGTCTAATTGTGGCATTAACTTTGGTTCAAATATATAGGTTTTGGCCATAATTTATTTGCTCAAATCTTTATTTTGAATAGATATTTTGTCAATATTATATCTAGTTCAACTTGACCTACAAGTGGATCTCATTCTATCTCATGATTTGAGTTGAGGTTTGGTGGGCTAGAGAGATTCATTTCAATTTGTTACTCTGATTTGAAGAACTCTCATTTAATAGGGAGTTTTTTAAAACATGCGACTCATTTAGTCTAGTCCGACAGCGGCTAATCAATGAAAATCTTACACAACACAAAAGCACGCATGCACACACACACACACAGCTTTTACATATTGGATTAAACTTTTCAGTCAAGTTGGTATATGACCATTTGTATATCTATGTTTAAGTCTCACATGATCTATAACCACTGTGAATTGCTATTGTAATAGAAGAAAAATAAAATTTATGCCTTTTTGATATTTAATCGCATCAGGTTAAAGCTAGAAGCATTTATTTTTATTTTGTTCCACCATAATATTATATTTATTTCATATTGAAGCATTTTCTAATAATAATCAGTAAGCATAAAATAAGATCACTAAACCATTAAATTACCTCACTTTTAGTATGCCAATTGAGCATAAACTGAGTCAATACAAATGCAGCTCATTATGATATATTATTTTCTTTTCAAAAATAATATATAAGAGGTATGAGAAAAAGATAGCCTTATAAAAATATTCTTACCTTTTTGTGGTCAATAATAAGCTTATAAAAGAGCAACTTATAAATTATCGTCGCTACTATGTAATATGTATGAGGTTACAAATAGCAGAGATGTTGATGTACAAAACTTAAAAATTACTTGAAACTAACTCAACATACGATTCAAAGCAACATTCAACTATGATTTATTTAAGTTGTGTTATCAGTTATTATGCTTGGCTCGAAATAAATTTTTAGTTTATTTCAAGTTTACAGTTGCTTACTTGAAATCTAATGTGAGCAGGTTTACGATTTCCATATGTTTTTTATTTGATTAAATATATAATTAAACTACTATTTGGTTAATTAGATTATGTGTTCAATTCATCCCTCCAAAATCTATTCTTATTTGAAGTTGAATTTGACTTGAAATTGACATTTGATTAGGCTCAAAGTCGATTAATTTTTGGTAAAGCTGGCTGATCTATGATGTATATTGATTTTAATAGTTTGAGTCAAGCTAAATTTTATAATTTTGAATTAGGGTCGAGTTGAACTTGCACAGCAATCCATACACTCTCAACCTTGGGATTACTCTCTACAATCTATCATGATTGTAACATGAACTTGAATATTATTTATGCATGCATCAAGATAAAGGTGTATGATTAGAATTTTTCTCCATGATAGTGTAATTAATTATTGATTTTAATTAATCATAACATCTCAAAATCCCAATTAGACAGAGCAATAACCAATAAAATTTAAGCCGGAACCTTGTATGCACTTTTTCCTCAACTGAAGTTTCAATTACTATGGGTTTATACTAAGGATCAATTAAAGATTTTATATTATTTTGTATTGATTATGAGGATTCTTGCAAAGCATATTAAAAGTGAGGTGCTTTAATTTAGAGTTTTAGTGATGTTATCGTTTTACTTGGTGAAATATCTATTGAAATAAATGAAGAATTAGAATAATGCAAAATGTTTACGATGTAGATGACTTAGAATTAGTACAACAAATGATTGTATAGTATATGCAATTTTAGCAAATGTGATATTATCAACTATCAGTTATTATTATTTAAAGACAAGGTGTACCTTGGTGTGATACTCTTAAGTATGTTTGGCGGTGGCATGCTTTTTTAGGCAATGTTTCAAACTAATTAAGGGTTGATTGGACGTCAAACAGTTAATTCAAGGGCCAAATAATTATTTTTATACTTAATATGATTTTTTTGGTTTGAGATTTCTCATTTGTAGTTGTATTTTTATTTATTTCTAAATACCTAATAATATATAGATAAAATATGATTTTATTTGATTCTTATAGTGTGCTCATTTAGTTTTCTCATATTTTTTTCATTTATAGTTGAACCCTAAGCCAAGATAGGAAGGTTTAATTGGTTGCCCACTGCATGTCTAGGCTTACATGGCTTTCCTACTATTAATTGTTTAAAATGGTAGGTCTCGAGGTTGTCCTACTAGCGTATTGTGATTGGTGGGTCAAGCAACCAAATTTATTCAATGAGTTAGTTTCCTATTAATTTGTTTCAACGTGTCAATAAATTAGGTTGACTTGAATAGTGCAGCCCATGAGTTTTGTCTGTATACATTTGATTTGACCTAATGACCATAGCAGCTCCATTTCTTTGGAAATTGGTTGTTTAAACTTTTTCTCTTTGATTAGTTCTTCTGACTTATCTTACATTAACATGAGTTTATTTGTCCTGTTGAACTTGAGTGCTTATTATATGATAATTAAAGACCCCTCATTTGACAATGATTGACGGTCTAGTCGATGATGCTTTAATTGATCATGCTCTAATCATTTTGTATAAAACTATCAATTTACTCAGTGTCACTCTTACCTATTGTTCAAGATTATGATTGCAAAGTCACTGATTAATTAAAGGATTTCACATCTAAAAAAGAGATATTTTCACTAAAATGACCTTTAATCCCGACCCTCTGCCTTGTGGTTGTTATCTTGTGTGACCATTGAATGCATTTGGGTTACGGTTTATTCATTCTTTGCCAAGGGTTCCAACTTCTTCATTTCTAAATTTTCTAGTAAAGCTTTTAAATCAACAGTTTAGAAATCAGAATCAAGATCATAAGTGCAAAATTATATATCAAGTGAACTTTTTTACACAGTATAAAGAGGGATTTTCATTGAAATAACTCCGATTTTGAACTCCATGTATAGCCTTACTACTCTTAAGCCACTCACTCCTCATCTCTCTTGCTATATTTCCCTCTCTAGAATGATAGCAAAAACATTTTATTAGTTGCAGGTCTGCTAGCATCCTTAGGGTTTCAGAGCTCTCTCTCAATGCATATTTCTATTGTTATATTAAACAAATTATCTTAGATACTATTGTCAATAATATCTATAAATTACATAATGAACTTATAAGTCTTTTTTGTGAGACTAAGCCGGATAAATTTATAAGCCCCGCATAATTTTAAGTGGGGTTTAATTTTTATTTTTTTCAAAGCTAAAATTTTCTCCCTACTTTGACAATCTTTTTGTGTAATGATGATTAGCTTTTTGGTATATGTTTAAAAACAGCTTAAATTAATTTAAGATATTGCTATTGAATGTGCAAGGTTTTTACTCGTTCATGGTTTCACACATTTATGTTTAAATCTTAATATTAGTTAATTTTCTCCACTTTTATAATGGAAGACTTCCTATTTTTATTTTCAACTGAAATTTGTAGCTGGATGCTAGAAGTTTACTTCCCTCCTTGCTTAAAGTTCTGTTTGTCAATATTTCCTTGCAGTATGTTGATTTTTATTTGTAGCTGCACGGATGTTCTACTTAAGCTTGATCATAGCTTTAGTTTCTTATTATAATAGGAATAAGTTATTTTACTGCTTTTTCTGCTACAATTTGTGGTGCCTGATGTGGTGCATGCTGATAAACTTGCAGCATGGTGAAATGGATTCAGTATTTGAACCTTAACATGTTAGAATGCATCAAGTGTAAATTTAAATGCTATGTATCAATAGATCAAATTGCTTGCCTTTATCAATTTTCTTGACAATTTCTAAGCTTAAATTCCTATTTCCTATTCTAATTTGGCTAGGGATTCTATGCAAGGTTGTTAAAAGGCATAGAAAATTTTATATCTTACATGAAATTGCCATTCAATGAAGGGAAATAATTAAAATTTGAAATATAGTAGATGAGTTAAGGTTGTTTGACTGAATAAAAGAAGATTGAATCCTGAATATTGGCTTGAGTTATGTAATCTAAATGTGGTTGGAAGTGGAAACGTAGCAGTACATTTAATTAGGCTCATATTATGGATATATTTGTATTCTTAGCAGCAGAGGTTAGCAGTTTCTAACGATATAAGTATAATTAGTACAGACAACTCATGTTTTATGCCGGAGAGTAAGGGGTGGAATTTGAAGGTTTTGTAATCAATGTAAATGGGAAGCCCATATAATAGAAGAAGTGGATTGTTCTTTCGTTCCATTTGGTACTGAAAATGTTTCCTTCATCAAATGACAACTTAGTTTTAGCTTGTAACAATTTTCTTGGAAGGATATAGGGAACTTCATACTACTTTTAAATAGGCCTTCAGGATTGAATGTGGAATTTATAAATGAATGATAATACGTTTTATGCATTTTCCCCTTGAGCCATTAAGGTTATGAGTTCTAAATGGCCTTTCCATTTTATAAGGGTAACATGATCAACAAGAATCTTATTTGTGTTTTTCTATATCTACAGTAATAGCCTTAGCAATATAACACCAACATCCTTCTAAATTTTCATTTGCATCTATCTGCTACCTATGCTACATTTTTACAGATGGAGAAACCTTTATAAAGAGGCACATGATTAGTTCGAGTGTATAAGAAGAGCCACTAAAAGGAGCAATCTCTTGATGTAGAAAAGTCCTCAGCTTTGAGGCATTTGGTCTGTGTTAACCTGAATTAATGAATGGAATTAAGTAATGTTTTGTTAAAATAAAATAAAATATATTCCTAATTAACTTGTTGCAGATCATTTTTTTTTTAGTGCTTTGATTATAAAATTCATCATTGAATAGTTTACTAAATTTCAATTTTATATTTCAATGATAGATGGTGCATAAATTTTATTCCTTTATATGCATATGGAAACGTTTGTCCTTTCTGTAAATTTGTAGGACTGAAGTCATTTAATTTTTATGGTTAGATGCTTTAGTGCTCGAGGACTTTTGCTTATTTCATATTTAATAAGCCATATATGAACGTTTTTTTAATTATGCTATATCCAAGGGCATCAGAAGAAATTATTCATTAATTAAATCGGAAATTCTATATTGCAGGTTAAACTTGTCAAGTGTTTGGTTCAGAATATTGTGGTAGATATATCTTTCAATCAGATTGGTGGATTGTGTACTCTTTGTTTTCTTGAGCAGGTAAGATGTTGTAAAACCTTAAGCACGCTGTACATTTTCTTATTCATTTTACTTGTCCATCTTGTTAAACATCGCCAAAGAGTAGGTTAAAATAGAAACCAAAATATATTTGGGAAATTTACATACATATCACACAGTTCCTATGTATTACATATCCAACTCCTAAAGTTTGATATTTACATTTATAACACTTTGGTGCTATGAAATGAAAGGTGTAATTCGCTTTTAAAAAGTTTTTAATAGTGGTATTTTTGATGTGATGCTAAAAGATTTGAATGGTATATATGTAAATAACAAAGTTTTAGTGTTAGATATGTAAATATATAAGAATTGTGTAGTATGTTTGTAAATTCCCCAATATACTTGTATCATAATCTGCTGTTAATCTATTTTACATGGTATATAGATTGAAATTTTGGGGCTGCTATAGGTTGACCGTCTTATTGGAAAGGATCATCTTTTTAAGCGCAGCATCATATTGATCAAAGCTTGGTGCTATTATGAAAGCCGCATTCTCGGTGCTCACCATGGTTTAATTTCTACATATGCACTGGAAACGTTGGTCCTGTACATTTTTCATCTCTTCCATTCTTCTTTGCATGGTCCTCTGGCAGTGAGTTCTCCAAATGACACGGAATGTAGTTCTAGGCATCCATATCTCTAGCTTCTTCAAGTCCTTTTTTGTGACAGTTATAATTTTGTAGGTTTTGTATAAGTTTCTGGACTATTACAGTAAATTTGACTGGGACAATTTTTTCGTCAGCCTAAATGGTCCTGTTTCTATATCCTCTCTGCCGGAACTACCTGGTCAGTTTAATGGTTTATTCATGGGAATGCAACCTCGTTTATTTTAATTTCCTGATAGGTTTTTGTTTTTTCGCTTCATTTTCCTGGTAACAGCTGAGACACTAGAGACCGATGGTGGCAACCTGTTGCTAACTAAGGAGTTTTTCAGAAGCTGTGTTGATAACTTTTCTGTTGCACCGAAGGGATCAGATTCTCGAATATTTATAAAGAAGCATCTAAACATTGTTGATCCTTTGAGAGAAAGCAATAATCTGGGTAGAAGTGTTAGCAAAGGTTAGATTCTCCTGCCCTGTTGTTGTACTGAGTCTTATGATGAAGCCTCTCTTTTGCCTCGGATATTCAACAGGCTATTACAAATTCTTTTCCATCCTGTAGGTAATTTTTACAGAATACGTAGTGCCTTTACATATGGTGCTTCAAAGCTTGGGCAGCTTCTTGTACTTCCTGCTGAAAGTATTGCTGATGAAGTGGTTATGTTCTTCCAGAACACTATTGATAGGCATGGAAGCGGAGAAAGGCCAGATGTGCAGGATTTGATTCCCAGATGTCTGGATAGTGCTTCAGATCTAGTAAATGGGGGTTTGTCTCCTTCAACAGAAAAGCTAGAAAAACAGTATGCAGAGAAGCTAAGTTCTGAATCTCTTACGACTGAAACTCTTCTTGATTTAAGTAAGGGAATTAAAAACATTAGGGTTTCTGGTTTAGATAGTAATGATGACAGAATGCCTTTGCAAAATCAATCCTCGTATAAACAGAAAAATGGCACAAATTTGGAGTCAGGAGATGTTGATTTGAATGATGCTTCCTTTGTCCGTCTAAGTGATGATGCCAAAGATCATGATTCTGCAACAGCCTCTGATTTAAGAAACACTACCGAAAACTGCTCTACTTCAGTATCAACAAGTGAAGCTGAATTTTCATCATTTGGTAAAGCTCATCGTCATGTTCCCCACTCTTTTTATGTTCCAGAAAATGGAAACGGAAAGGATTTAAACAGTGAGACAATCAATTCAGTTAATTTAGGTTCATTACACGCTATTTCTTTTAATGGGGCTATGGTTTCCCCTGAGGAAACTAGCAGTTCTGTGCAGCTCGATTCATTTGAGACTGATTCGCCATCGAGTTGCACGTCCTCGTTTAGCAATCATGGTAGTGGGTGCCCATCAGAGAGTTCGCAGTTTGCGGATCACATGCCTTCAGGAAACGAATGGAATGATACTAATGGAAGCTACAATGTGCCAAATAAAGTTACGGATCTCACCGGTGATTATGATATCCACTTTAGAAGTCTTTCTTATGCCCGTTGGTGCCAAGAACAGATAACTGGGACTTCCTTTCTTCCTCCTATGCATCTGTCAACCACGTACACTTATCACCAATGCAGAGATTCATGGAGTCATGGTGGTATGTACACGTCTATGAATGCAAATGGAGTGACACCCAGGCCACCTTTTTCTCCTACTGCTTACTATCCAAGAAATTTACCCTTTTTTCTCGGCACTTATGGCACCGAGGATGTGCCAAAACCAAGGGGGACTGGAACATATTTTCCTAACATGGTATATATCTCCACTCTTCTAGTAGCGAAGAAAAAGTGGCCTTCTTTGGAACAATTTTCTGGCCTATTTGGCTTTGAGGACCTTATTTTTTGATCAAATGTTGTAGCTTTTGCCTTTTGGCTTCAACATTTTTCACATAATTTTATCACTAAATGAGTCTATATGTAGTGCTGGATTAGTTCTACCTTGCTTATTAAAGAACCAAAGAAAATCCGGCTGTACATTGTTTTTGGTTGTTTTTATTTTCGAGGTTTTATATAATCACTTCAAATCTTCTACTCATGTTTTGTAGAACCACCGTGTCTATAAAGAGCGGCATTATCCTGGAAGAGGGAAGAATCCAATGGCTTCAAATCAGTTCCCAAGGTCCCGGATCAATGGCCGCACGGATATATCCCATCATAAGGAGAAAGGACCTCATGAGCCAGCCACACAGGCTCTACCTATGTTTGGTGGAAGCGGACGTGGGAGACCTCCGGTTTTAGATATGCCACACTCGGCATTTCGACCTGCCATGAAGGGTTCACCTCGTGCTAATAGGATCAATCTGCAAGCTGATTATGGCAGGCTTGAGTTTGGTTCGCTTGGCCCTGTTTCTTTAGAAACTCCTCCATTAGAGAATGGCAATTCTCTGAGTCAGGGCTCTGGATTTTCCAACACAGCATCAATTGACCAGAGATCAACCATCTATTCTAATAATAGAGAAAGGTAAGTTATCTATTGCTTTCTAAGCTTTCATTGTCGGCGGATTTGACCACATTTCTAGACATTATTTCTCTAGATACTTTTTTGCAAGACTATTAGATTAGCGTTAATCCATATTAAATACTTCTGCCAATATTCCCTTAAATTAGATTATTTTCTGTCGGCTTCCTTGTTAATTGACTCATTGACATCTGTCGAGGACTGTTAAGTTTTCAGACCAAAGGGTCCATTTGGCATCACTATTTTCCTATTTTTTTTATTTTTTCTTTTATTTATTTAAAATATGTTTGGCTAGTATAATTTTTAGATGTTCTTAATTTTGTTAAGAAAATCGAATTTTTTTTAAAAGTACTCAAAAGAACTGAAAGATGTTTTTTTGTTGTTATTATTTTTAAAAATGAACTAGTTCAATCAAAATATATTTTAATCATAATCAAAGCATAAATAAAATAAAAATGAAAAATAAAAAACAGAAGTGATTGAAATGCCTCTTAGTTAGCACAAATGATCATAAGCTAAATATTCAGTGTTTTGTTAGTTATTAGCTACTTCCCCTCATAATTTTAAAAAGCATTCTGAATGTCTCGAAAGCTTTCGAAAATATGATTTTATGCTAGCATAGTTGATAAAGATATTGAAATTGTTGCCTCCTTCAAAGAAAAAATGTTTGAAAGCTTGTTATTGAGCGTGCAGGTCCTTGACGCCGTATCAGCTAAAAGACGAGGCTGATTTCCCACCTCTATCTCGCTGATTTGCGTGAGGGAAGCTTATACTTCGGAGTTGACTGATTTACCATGCAATGAATAAGAGGAATGCCAACCTATGGGTCCTATTTCTCGGAGTGGGTCCTATTTCTCGGAGCAGCTTAGTGGTGTAAAAGAAGCGGGTGTTTTGTTGCGTTTCAGTGGTTCTGTACATCAAAATAAGATTCTACCCCTTCACTTCTCTTATGTAAGGTGGGGGACATAGAAGAAAGGATTCCTGTAAGGTGAATCTTCTTCCTCCCAACTCATTTTTCCTTACCAATGCAGGTGGTGAGAAGCACTAACCCTTGTAGTTTCCAACCGAGAAAACTTGTTTGCCTTGATATATATAACCAAAATGCTGCTAATTTTTTCTCCGTATACTGGATTACTCAGTTTAATGGTGTTTTTTAATGATTATGTTACCAAAATGCTTGTCAATATCCCCCTCTTTTTTTTTTTTTTTTCTCATTTGTTTCTATCATTGAGCAATTTCATTTTTGGGGAGTTGCATACATACCATCCATTTCCTACGAATTTACATACCTAACAACTAAACATTATCTTTTACATTTATACCAATAAAACCTTTCATATTACAACAAAATGCCACCATTTTAACTTTTATGGATTGGCAAAGTGGTGTTTCGGTGTCAGATATACAAAATAAAAATTGAAGTTTAGGTGTCCTACGAATTGAAGTTTAGATATACAAATACATAGGAATTGGGTGGCATGTATGCAAATGGTTCTTAATTTTATGCTGGAGAACTGTCTGCTATCATTTCATACATTGTGATAGCCAACAAAGCAGCACTGGATCCGCCATATTTTAAGTGCTGTGGTTTATGTATCTTTATTAGAATAGAAAGAACATATGACATTCAATAGGGCATAATAGAGAAAAATAATTCCTTTAGCCGGCCCCACTCAATAGGATAAAAATTTGTTGTTGTTGTTGTTGGTTTATGTATCTTTAATATTAGCTATGATTTTATTGTATCTAATTTTTAGGGAAAAATGACGTTATATGAAACTTAGTCATGTGCTTTGTTTTGTTGTTTTGTCAAATTTGATAACAAATAACCTCATAAATTTATAATGATTATAAAACTATTGTATGTTCTGTGGAATTTTTATTTCATTTTTTATGACAATTATTTTGACAATTAGATGTAAAAATTTAATGTTTTGTTATTATACCTTAAATTTTTCTTGTTTCGCCTTATATGATATTTGTTCTAAGATATTAAATGATGAAGATAGGAAAGCAGGGTTGTAATCAAGCTGCATATATCATTGTTCGGGCTTTGTGTGGTATAATTATAAGTTCATGTTCGGCTTGAGCTTGTGTCGAGTCTTCATATATTGTTCAAACTCAATTTAGTTTAAATTTTTCGATGTTTGAACTTGATTTGTACTTGATTTATTTTTGACAGGTGAACGGTATTTAAATGAGCTAATAAATGATCTAAAAGTACAAACGAGTTTTTAAATTTTTATATAGAAAATTCAATAAATTATTTTACAAATTTAATCAAATTTACTAATTAATTGATTATAAATTCTATCAAAATAAAATATTATTCATGAACTATCATCATATGGGATATAGTTTCTCATATTTAAGCATGATGGTACTTTTTGCATTCAACTTTTTACATTCAAATGTAAGTGTTGGTTTTCTCATAGTGAGACAAGTTCTTTTTCTAATTTTTTGGGACAATTTTATAGATTTCTTTTATATTGATTTATTGCACCATCTTTATTCTTAATGATATATAACTTATTATGATTGCATCGTACTTTTTCAAGAGTACTTTTTAATCAGATAAGATTTATGAGTACAGTGGAAAGGGAAAATACATGTGAGATGAGTTTTAGAGATCGTTGCACATCGCAATCTCGCCGGTATCTTTGATGCTTGCCCGCCCAAGCAACTTGGGGTTTTGTATATTTCGGGCGAAATCGGGAGATACAAATATGTGAGAAATCAGAGGAAAGGTGAGGTTTGAGGGGGCTTAAAGTTATTCTTAAGAAGCATTTCATACATACCATGCAAGACTTATGTATTTTCAATTCTACACCTGAACAAAAATGAATAGGAAAGCCAACCTTTTTTAGAGATTGAAAGGATTGGGTTAGCGAAGCAGGAGTTGGATTACTTGTGGGTTAGGTTTTGGTTTTTTTGTTTATTTGGTCCTTGATCTGGTTGGGCTCATGGAGGGTGAGAGTTGACTTCGTTGATTCAGAATTGAGTTCGTTCTTGGAGTGATGGTTGTTTGAGGGGGAGAGAATGAATTCTACTATATAATTGTTATATTTGGATGAAGGTTTTGGCTTAAAAATTGCCAATTTAGTTGCGGATTTGATTATAATCTTGGCTTGGGATTCGATCACTTTGATTAGATGTAAAAGAATAAAAAATATCAGAAGAAATAAACTAGGTTAGTTGGTGTGCTAGCTTAACCATAATTAAGAAAATGGAGTTTAGGACATTAAAAAATGCGAATTTAGTTGTGGAGTAATTATAGTATTGATTTGGGATTGAATTCATTTGATCATTTTGACTAGAAGTAAAAGAATCAAAATGTAAGAATAAAAAAAAAAAGGTTGGTTGGTGGGGTAAGTTAACTACATTTTAGAAAATGGTCAAATTAGGATAACTAGGGGCTATGAGAGGGCCATTCTTAAACTTTTAGGCTTTTGGGTTTGTTTTAGAGTTTTTTTTTTTTCAAACAAATGAATGCAATAAAGAACTTTTGTGGTTGAAATATAGTGCTTGAAATATTTTTGAAGTTTTTTTTAGCTAAATTAGTTTGAGTAGGCCAATCATAAATTTTAGGATTTTGGGTTTGTTTTAGGAGGTTGTTATTATTATTATTATGATCATCATCATCATAATTATTGCTGAAAAATGAATGAAATATTTGAGAGTTTTTATGTTTGGTGTAAAACAAATGCACAAGTTTGTATTTTTTTGTTTAATCTAAAGAAAAAATAAAATTAATGTAAAACGTTGTAGTAACAGTGATGAGCAACAATTGCTGACAGGCGGATGGTTGTGAGCAGCTAAATTAGACTGGCAAGTGGCGTCCTAACTGCAAGAGCTTGCAATGAATGATAGTTTGTGGGAAACAACAATAAATGCCATAATTTACACTGTTTTTAAATTTAATTAAATCTCATTGAATTTGGAATATACTGAAAATGAATTATATGGGAAGAATCCATTGGAATTTTATTTTGGATTTTTTCTTCCTGAATAAAAAGCTAATTTCTTAAAATATTATACCACTCTTTTTACAACAAACTAATCAGCCAGTTGGTGTGAAATTAGTTAAAAAAAAAATTTAAGAAAACTAGTGTAAAATACTCTTGGGGGTTGTCTGGATGCAGGTATGATTTAAGTTAAATGGGATTTAGTTAAGCCGGTAAATCCATATTTATCAAATCAAAATTTAATTAGATCCAAAATAACTATTTGTTCAATTAAGGTTAAATTTAAATTTTTTAAATCCAACCAATTAGTAGATTTAATAAATTTAGATTTAATAAACGGAATAAGTAAAAATTGGATTTAACTTAACGTGGATTTACTTAACCTATTTGTGATAAATGGTTAGATTTAAGAACTCAAATCCTATAAAAAGTATTGTTCCAAACACCCCCTTACATGAAAAACATTGAGGAAGATAACATAAAATATATATTAGATAATAGAAAATAAAATCAGAGGGATAAAGGTTATTAATTACCCAGCAAATAATATCAAAATTCATTTAAACTCATTCATACAAGCCTTCACCTTCTATCTAGAAAAAATAAGATAAAGCAATGCTCAATTATACACCAAGCAATGATGCATCACAATTTATGTCGCCACTGATAATGTTAATTGGTAATATTGTTGTTTTTTTTTTGGTGGATTTACAATTACTTTCTTTCATTGATTGCTTAAGAGACATCCGATGCAAATTATCTCCTACTATTTTCAGTAGAACCGTCCTTAAAATTAATTCTTATCATCAAACATTTTAATCATAATTAGTCACATATAGAATGCCATAAAATTCTACACTTAGGGATACATAAAAGCCTTTCATACAATAATATCCAACACCTACAACCCCCTATGGGTAATTCATCTCACTTATAAAGTAACACAAATTAACAAAATTAGAACTAATAAATTATAACATTTACTATTACTTTAAAGAAGTTTTATATTTCACTTATAAAGCAGTTAATTTAAGAATTTGTTTTCATTTTAATTATATATATATATATATATATCCTAAAGAAACTCATTTGCATAATTTGCTTATTTTGGTTTTGAAAGATTGGAGTGTCACTTGAGGACAAGTAAGATTTTAATTTTGGAGGATTTTAATACACCCAAAATATATAGCATTTATGTACACATTTTTATACCAATTTTTTGAGATATTGCACTTTAATAGAAGGTATTTGTGTGTTATTCTTTCAGGTACAAAATAATGGATGAAAATGGTAAGGAGTGAAAAATGATCAATTTGAAGCAAAAATAAAGAATGTGTGAAAATGATTTGTGGCGCCTAAGCACTTAGGACTGACCCTTAAGCGTCACGTAACAGAGAAGGTCGAGCTTAAAAGCCGAAGATCTCACGCTTACGCGCCAGAGGTAGTTATGAGGAAAATTCAATGAATTTGAACGAATTTCGAATGTGTGTTTGAAGCAACTCTTGGTGAAAATGTGAATTACAGTTAATGAACACAAAAATAAATTGAAATGTCTCTTGAAAAGAGGCAGGGCCTCTCTCTCATAAAAGAATTAGGATATTTTTAGAGAGAAGAAAGGGAGAGTTATAAGTGATTCAAAGAAACTTCAAGAGTTTGGTGGAAAGGAATTTGAGATAATTTTTTATCTTTATAACTGCATTTGATTTTAATTTAGACTTCTTGTGTTTTCACATGATTTTTACTTTTAAACTTAAGTGTTGTTGTGTTATCTCCATGAATTCTGAGTAGTTTTATTTATCTTTTTCTCTAAAATGATAAGTAATTAAGTGTTGGAAGGAAAATGTGTTTAGTATTGATCTATACTGTTGGACTAAATTATGATGATTTAATCATTGTACTTCACTTACTTCTTGATTTGGCCAATTGAGATGTTAATATTTTTTTGTGAGAGCATGTAAGATCCATGATAGTATTGTCTCAGTCAACTAATGGTAGAATCACATGAGATTGTATGGATGAGAATATAATTAGAATATAATTCATATTATAATTCATATGGTTGAGTGCAAATAAATAAAAAAATAAACTTTGAAGGGTGTAGAGTTAGATGACTTTAGAGTGACAGGCTAAAGCCCCCAATTCAGTCTATTGTTTTAGATTTTTATACGAGAAGTTAGCCCCTAGGTGGAGGAAGAAGAGAGAACTCTAAAGC